GAGGAGGTGGGGGTGACGGCTGTGGACGGGCTGAGAGGAGAGAGAGGAACATCAGTGGGTCATTTTATATATATATATATATTATTTTGTATTTGTCTATCTATGTAACCTTGTATTTGTACTATAATTATTACATTTTTTTTTTATGTATTTACTTTTTTTATTCACCAATGTATTATTTTTGTATTTGCACTAATTATTATAATTGTGTTCTATCATTATTATTTCTATTATTGTAATTTGTATGGCTTCATCTGATGTTTGTCATGATTCTTGCAACTGTTTTTACTTCAACATCACGGTACATTTTTATACTTTTATTATTCTCCTGTGTATTATCTGCATCAAATACTGCCATGACATTATCCATAAATATATAATATCGACTGAATACAATGTTTAACAAACGTCTGTTAGGATTTTTAACTTCCACAAACTTCAACTAAATAAAATAACTCAAATTATAAAAATGTTCTGTATTTTCTGTACACTTTTCTTAATTTTATTTGGCATTGAATTATTTTGTGCAGGAAACCAAGAAACGAGCATTCCCCCATAAGGTAAAATGGGAAAATGTCTCCCTCTGGTGGAGAATAGTCGTAAGTTCATTTCTAAAGACGGGGCCCTGAAGTATTTTATTGATCCCAATTCGGGACATGTTTGTGTTGCAGCAACATAAATACAAATTAAAATACGAGAAAGTAGAAAAAATACATGTTGAATTTACAAATGAACAATAACAAGATATAAAGCAAGTCTATTATACAGGGATGGATTTTATAAAAATGGGTCTCGAATGGAACATATTTTATTCGGCTAAACCCTTATTATGGACTTTTGATAGGAGCTGAGGTCACACTTTCATAATTAAATCAAAACCGTGTACGTTAAAAAAAAGGCACTTAAATAATATGCCACCAAGTAGTCCACACACACCGTCAGCAGCTGTTCGGAGTAAATGTAGTGTTATAAAAAGATGTATATTTAAAGTGACCTGGTGGAGGAGTTGCTGGCTGCAGGGACGCTGCTGGAGCTGCTGCTGCCCAGCAGGTTAGCCAATCCTGGGCCAGCGAGGGCCCCGAGGCCCCCTGAGGGCGAAACATCACGTTAACATCTGAGAGAAACTAATATAAATAACATTCATGACATACTGTTAGAGCCAGTATTTTGTTTTTATAAGAAAGGCCACCTAATCGTGACGTCTGTAGTCAACCAGAGTATAAAAGACTACAATTCCCACGCCACCTCCTTTAAAGTGACAGATGGGAAACATGTCAGAAAGACGCCGTCGAGGAAACATTTTTAACCGTTCAACTTTTAAGTTATATAAGCCTCATCAAGACAGAAAGAATACCTAAGTTGTTTGTTATTTCATTTGCCTCTTTCTTTTGACTCTTGTAAAGGCCTCTTTTCTTTCTTGCATGTGTAAAAGTTTGTTATTTTATTTTGAGCAAACACATCTCTCGTCTCTTCAACTGTAAGTAACATAAAGGAAAGGAAACGAGGTATAAAATGTTTAAAGCGTCTAGTGGCTTGATAGATAAACAAGGAAGGACGCCACGACAGATACACAGTGAGTTTCTCCTCCGTACCGATCCCGCCCAGTCCGGTCGGTCCGATGAGCTGCATCAGCTGGTTGTGGCTCATATTACCCAGAAGGCTTTGCAGGCCGCCCTCACCTGCACGGGAGAACAAGAAAATCCAGCATGACAATTAAAATAATGTATAAAGAAAGCATAATTAGACAGTATGAAGTGGACTTGTGATTGTGTTCGGGTTTTATGTTTCAGTATTTGTAACTGTGACATCATAATGCTTTTATTTGACTTTTTTATGGTTATTTCATTTTTTTTTTTTAAGAAGGGGCTGGTAAAATAAGATTTACTTCTCCCTGGCTCCTTTCCACCATGCAAAAAATGTCTGTCAATTTGTCAAGGAACCAATAATCAGGGTTCCTTCACATTCTACATTTCCTAAAAACCTTTTTCCAGATTCAAATTTCCAACTTTTTCGGAGATTTTTCAGACCATGTTTGCTGCAGGTACAAAAAGCGAGATGTATATTAAGTAAAAAGATGGATTTATATTAGTTTATTTATGCTCTGAGGACGACAGCTCAGATTTGATACAAGCTCACTCTAAAAGCAGCTCTTATATGAAAACCTAAAAACGAATTCTGAAGCTGATCTATGTTTCCGAACTTATTGAAACCTAAATGAATACAAATTAAATTGCATCCTTTCTGTGAGAAAAATCTCCCTGGTCCCCGGCTTGATCTTCAATCAGGATCCATGTATCTGTGATCCTGGATGGAATGGAAGTAGTCATCACATACAGAGCATCAACTAGTTCCTGAACAGTGTCCTTCACATGCTGATATCCAAGAGAGGGAGTTCCACAGTCACAAGATGGAGGAATACCGGTTCTTCTAGGTAATCATACATCCTGTCATCTACAAAATATAAATGTCTGACATTTTGAAAAAAGTCAGATGTTTGAGAAAAAGTCACATTTGTGAGATTTTGAGAAAAAGACAAAATTTTGAGATTTTGAGAAAAAAGCCAACATTTTTGAGAAAAAAATCAGTATCCGTATCCTCAAAATTCTGAAATTTTCAAAAAAAAATCTCAAAATTCTGAATTTTTCTAAAAATCACAAAATTCTGAATTTTTTTCAACTATCTGACTTTTTCACAAAAATCTCCAAAAACGGACTTTTTCTCAAAAATATCAAAATTCTGACTTCTTTTCAAAAAACTCAAATTCTGACTTTTTCCTCAACATCTAAAAAATATGACTTTTTCTCAAACATCTGACTTTTTCTCAAAAATCTAAAATTTCTGACTTTTTCTCAAAATTCTGACTTTTTCTTAAAAATATCACATTTTCTCAAAAATATAAAAATTCTGACTTTTTCTGACAAATCTGACTTTTTCTCAAAAATCTCAAATTCTGACTTTTCCCTCAAAATTCCGACTTTCGCAAAATCTCAATTCTGACTCTTTCTGATCCATGTATCTGTGATCCTCTCCAG